TTTTAATACATCATGCCCTCTCTCCTGGCCTGTAAGGTTTCCACTGAAATGTCTGCTGCCACATATTTTTACATTCCATTGTATGTTAATTGTTTCTTTTCTCTTGCTGCTTTTAGGATTTTTTCTTTATCCTTGACCTTTGGGAGCTTGATTATTAAATACCTCAAGTTAGTCTTCTTTCAGTTAAATCTTCTTGGTGTTCTATAAACTTCTTGTACTTGGATATTAATATCTTTTTCTAGGTTTGAGACTTGTCTGTTATTATCTCTTTGAATAAACTTTCTACCCCTATCTCTTTCTTTCTCTACCTCTTCGTTAAGGTCACTAGATTTGGCCCTTAGAGGATATTTTTTAGATCCCATAGGTGTGATTCATTTTTTTTCTTTTGTCTCCTCTAAATATGTACTTTCAAATAGCCTGTCTTCAAGCTCATTACTTTTCCTTCTGCTTGGTCAGTTGTGCTGTTGTGAGACTCTGATGCATTCTTTAGTATGTCAACTGAATTTTTGAGCTCCAGAGTTTCTGCTTAATTTTTAAAAATTATTTTAATTGCTTTGTTAAATATATCTGAGAGAAATCCGCATTCCAACTCTGTGTTATCTTCAATTTCTTTGAGTTTCCTCAACACAGCTATTTTGAATTCTCTGTCTGAAGGAGCATGTATCTCTGTTTATTGGGATTAGCCCCTGGTGGCTTATTTAGTTCACCTGGTGAGGTCATGCTTTCCTGGATAGTGTTGATGCTAGTATATGTTCTTTGGTGTCTGGGTAATGAAGAGTTAAGTATTTATTGTAGTCTTCATTGTCTGAGTTTGTTTGTTCTTTTCCTTCTTGGGAAGGCTTTCCAGATATTTGAAAGTACTTATGTGTTGTGTTCTAATCTGTATCTGCTTTTGTGGGCAACCCAAGCCCAGTAACACAGTGGTTCTTGCAGACTTACAGAGGTACTGCTTTGATGGTCTTGGACAAGACCCAGAAAAATTCTTTGGATTACCAGGCAGATGCTTGTTCTTTTCCCTTTCTTTCCTCTACACAGAGTCTCTTTCTGTGCTCTGAGCCACTTATAGGTGGGAGTAGAGTGACACAAGCACCCCTGTGGCCACCACCACTATGACTGTGCTGGGTCAGACCTGAGTCCAGTACAGCACTAGGTCTCACCCAAGGCCTGATGTAACCACTCCTTGGTTACTGCCTATGTTCACTCCAAGCCCTGCAGCTCTTTAATCAGAAGGTGGCAAAGCAATCCAGGCCAGCCCTGCATCCTTCCCTTCAGGGCAGTGAGGTCCCTCAAGTCCCAGGTGAGTCCAGAGGTGCCATCCCGGTGTCAGGGACTGAAGTAAAAAACCTTAGATGTCCATCTAGTGTTCTCTTGTACTGCCACTGAGTTGGCATTCAAATCACATGACACAGTCATTATGTAAAGTGAAATAAGCCAGGAAGAAAAAGAGAAACATCACACGTTTTCACTTATTTGTGGGATCTAAAATTCAAAACAATTGAACTTGTAGAGATATAGAGTAGAAGGATGGTTATCAGAGGCTAAGAAGGGTAGTAGGGGTTTTTGGGGAAAGTGGGGATGATTCATCGATACAAAAATTAGAAAGAAAGAATGAATGAGCCCTAATATTTGATAGCAAAAAATGGTGACTATAATGAATAATAATTTAATTGTACATTTTAAATTAACTAAAAAAGTATAATTGGATTGTTTTAACACAAAGGATAAATGCTTGAGGGTATGGATGACCCATTTTCCATGATGTGACTATTATGTCTTACATGTCTATATCAAAATATCTCATGTACCTCATTACTATATATACCTACTATGTACCCACAAAAATTAAAAATTAAAACAAAAGAAAATTCCTCCAAAGAGTTGTCTATTCTCTGTGTCTCCATACCATGTATTGTCACTCTCTTGTCACACTTCAATCAATCTTTGATTTCAAGCCTCCAACTGAAATCTCTCTCACTAAGGTCACTGATAATCTCCATATTGTCAAATCCTATAGTCAATCCTCAAATCACATTTAGTTTGATCGCTCAGCAACATTTGTGACAATTGATTTTGCCCTCATTCTGGAAATACTTCCCTTGGATTTCATGACAATAATTTCTTCTTATGTTCCTCCTACCTTACTAGCTACTCATTCTCATCTCTTTCACTCGATTCTTTTCCTTCCTGAACTTGAAATGTTGGAATGTGCCAGAGCTGGTCCTTGGACTCATTCTTTATCTATACTTATTCACTAAGTCATTGTACTGAGTCTCACAGCTATATTTACAACTTATAATCTGATGATTTCCAAATTTATATCTCCATCCTTGAAATACATATTTGTAAATCCAACTTTGTAATAGACATTATCACTCACATATCTCAAACTTAACAACCTCTTAATTCCCAGCCCTAGTCCTACCAAACCTGGTCTTCCTCCATTGTCTCCCTTCTTGGTAGATGCTGCCACCACTAACTTTGTTGCTTAGGATAAAATCCTTGGAACGACCCTTGAGTCTCTTTCACTCACATCCAAAATGCAATCCATCACCAAATCTTGTTAGTTTCACCATTAATATATATCCAGAAACTCTGGAACAAGATATTGTAAACTTACTTTTCCATGCTACCATCCTCTAAATTCAAGTAAATACTCTGGAAATTACTGAACAGAAAAAATAAAAGGACTCTGAAATATGGTAAGAAACTATATGAGTTAGCAACCTAAAGATTTGAGGAATAAGAATGCTATGATTTCCCTGAGTTTTCTTTTTACCTCCTAAATATCTCAGACTAAGCACTGGGGACACCTGCAATCCAGAACTGCCAACAGGCATAAACAACAAAAACAAAAACAAAAACAAACTTAACCTTGCTTTCTCTGATCTATGTTCTGATAAAAAGCCCAACAGAGACCTAGCGGACAGCCCCAACTCCTGTTCTACAACCAAAGTACCTGAGAATAACCTGATTTGCACAGAGAGGCAGCTGCAAAGCTCCTGGAAAATCCAGCTTCCACCCACAACGAGGTCATCAGCAGGTGAACTGATCTGCCCACATAAGTAGTTTCAGAACCCTGATGGGCCATCTTAACTCCTGATACACAACTAGGACACTGACAGCTCACAGGAGTAGCAGTGAAGCTCCAGCAGTCCAACCCAACACCTGTAGTGCTCAACACCTGTAGTGCTTGCAGGCTAAACACCTGCAGTGCTTGCAGGCTGGTCTACCTGCAGTGGAAGCAGAGAAGGGCTGGTCCACCCAATTTCCATTCCAAACCCAGGGCACCATCATCTCTTAGTCCTCTATTAATTGGCACAAGAAGACTCAGTCCCCGTAGCTTCTGACTCAACCCCTACAGGATAACGTGGCTCAATGACACCAGGTGGCCCAGCAGAGTGCTTTGTGCCATGGCAGATGGCACTAATAGGGAATAAATGGAAACTGAAGCACCATCAGAAAGACAAAATACATCAGAATGGTTCTGAAAACTAAATTGTCATTAGACCTAAAACCCACAAAAATAGGTCAGAACCTATATTCTAAACCTAAACAGGATCACTGCTTGCTAAAATAGATTTAAGAATCAAGAAATTCCTAAAATAGTAACCAAAATATCCGTGATAAAATGGAAAATCATTCCTTATGCAAAGAACAAGGAAAACTACAATTTGACTGAGAAAACATAATTAACTGATATTAATATCAATATTATTCTGAAGTTGGAGTCAACTGGTAAGAAAATTAAAACCGCTCTCATAAAAATGCTTCAACAAGTAATTAAAAATACCTTTAAACAAATGCAAACAGAATATCTCAACAAAGATAAAGGAGTTATTTAATTTTTAAAAAGAACCAAATGTAAATTATAAAATTAAAAAATACAAATAGCCAAAATAAAATTTAAAACTCATCAGATGGACTCAATACTAGATTAGAGGTAAGGAACAGAATCAGTGAAGTTAAAGACATATCAACAAAACTTATTCAATCCAAACAAAGAGAAAGTATCATGAAAAAGAAACAAAAAGAAGAGAGCCTCAGGGATCTGTGGAACAATAACAAAAGACAGGACCACTGTCTGTTGTTATCAGAATCCCAGTAGGAGATGAGAAAGAATGTGGGGCTGAAATAGTAGTTAAATAATAACAAGAAACAGGGGTAACAAGCCAGGCATGGTGGCTCATTCCTGTAATCCCAGTTCTTTGGAAGATTGAGGTGGAAGAATTGCTTGAGGCCAGGAGTTTGAGACCAGCCTGGGCAACATGTTGAGACCTGATACCTACAAAAATGAAACAAAAATCAGCCAGGCATGGTGGCACATGCCTGTAGTCTTAGCTACAGGGCCACAGGAGGCCAGGAGTTCAAGGCTGCAGTGAGCTCTGATCACGCCACTGCACTCCAGTAGCCTAGGTGACAGAGCAAGATGCTGAAAAAAGAGAGAGAAGAAAGAAAGAAAAGAAAGAAAGAAAGAGAAAGAAAGAAAGAATGAGAAAGAAAGAAAGAAAGAAAGAAAGAAAGAAAGAAAGAAAGAAAGAAAGAAAGAAAGAAAGAAAGAAAGAAAAGAAAAGAAAAGAAGGAAAGAAGGAAGGAAGGAAGGAAAGAAGGAAGGGAAGGAAGGAGGAGAGGAGGAAAGGAGGAAAGGAGGAAAGGAAGAAAGGAGGAAGGAAGGAAGGAAGGAAGGAAGGAAGGAAGGAAGGAAGGAAGGAAGGAAGGAAGGAAGGCAGGCAGGCAGGCAGGAAGGAAGGGAAAAAAGAGAAGAAGAAACAAAAGTAACAAAAAGAAAACAAATAATAAAATAGAGACTGGTGATGTCAGGAATATGGCAAAATAGAAAGTCAGAAAACTTCTTCCCCCAAAGGAGACACCAATTCAACAAGCAAAAATACACAGGTCAATTCCCTTCAAGAGAAATCCAAAAACTAGTTAAAAGGCTCCTGCATCACAGACAAGCTAAAACCAGCCACACTGAAGCTGGTAGGAAAATTAATGGTACTCACTCGCCATGGTCTCTCTGCCCAGCTCAGTATAGCATGATCAGCAGAAAACTCCCAATTCTTGGCTTCTTCCTAGAGAGAAAAAAGAAGAAGGCTGAAACCTATGTCCAATATGAAGACTTTTTCAGGGGAAGGCTGAGGAAATAATTTCTGTCTTCCCTGTATCTGGAGACTCGTGAAAAAGTGTGCTAGGTTGAAGGCTACTGAGAACAAGGGCAAAAGTTTAGACAAAAAGCACTCACTCACCATACTCCCTCCTCCCAGCTCAGCATAGAACGAGAGGGTGAAACTCCCAACTCTCAGCTTCTCTCTAGGAAGGGAAAAAGTTGTGGCATGCGTCCCACATTCTGTCTTTTTGGGGGGACTGCTCGAGAAATGGGTTTCTGTCTCATTGCTCTGAGAAGGTGGACAGGGCTGGCATACTCTAGATCTCTGGGGGATGCTGAAAACAAAAGAGATGTAAGTGATTTGCTGCTATTCCACAGGACATGCAGTAGAGAAGACAGATGTTAACACAGCTCAAAGGCTTCTTCAGGGAGGGGAGACAGAAGAGTAAAGTGTGTGTTCAACATTATAGCTTTTTGGGGTCTGACCAAGAAACTTGTTTTACTTTAAAACAGACTTTAATTTATTTTACTAGATAAAAAGCACTGATATGGTTCAGTACACTCTAGAAGCCTGGGGGAAACTAAGAACTAAAGGGAGATGTGAACTAATAAATCTCTTTAATTAAAAATTTGCATATACAAGTCCAGAGAAGAAATATACACATAAAATGTCTGAAAGGACCCTCTAATTAGGCTGATTTGTGAAGGTCTTTCCTTGCACAAAGCCAGCCTATAAAGATTTGGAGAGGTGGTCATTTTCTTAAATGTATGGATCCAACATAAAGGTACAAAGCAAACAAGGAAACAAGAAAACATGGCACAAAGCCAAAACAACAAAATAAGTCTCCAGGAACTGACCCTAAAGTAAAGGAGATATATGAATTATTTGACAAACAATTCAAATATCCATCATAAAGATGCTCAACAAGCTCAGAATATGATACATAAATAAAATGAAAATAACAAATCAACTGAAAACATAAAAGGAGCCCAACAGAAAATTACGCGCTAAAGAATACAATAAGTGAACTGAAAAATTCACTAGACAGTTTGAACATCACACTTGATCAACCAGAAGAAGGAAGCCACAAACTTGAATACAGGTAATTTGAAATTATTAGTCAGAGAAACAAAAATAATAAAAAAGAGGCCGGGCGCGGTGGCTCAAGCCTGTAATCCCAGCACTTTGGGAGGCCGAGACGGGCGGATCACGAGGTCAGGAGATCGAGACCATCCTGGCTAACACGGTGAAACCCCGTCTCTACTAAAAAATACAAAAAACTAGCCGGGCGAGGTGGCGGGCGCCTGTAGTCCCAGCTACTCGGGAGGCTGAGGCAGGAGAATGGCGGGAACCCGGGAGGCGGAGCTTGCAGTGAGCTGAGATCCGGCCACAGCACTCCAGCCTGGGCGACAGAGCGAGACTCTGTCTCAAAAAAAAAAATAAATAGATAAAATAATAATAATAATAATAATAATAATAATAAAGAAGTGCAGAAAGTCTAAAAGGACTTATAGGACACAATCAAGTGGATCAATATATGCACTATGATATTAAAAGAAAAAGAAGAGACATAAAGGGACAAACATTTATTTAAAGAAACAATGGCCTAAATATCCAAAATCTGGGAAACAATATGGACATCTAGACTCAAGAAGCCCAACAGAACCCAACTAATAGGAAACCAAAGGACTTCAAACTGACAACATTATGGCTAAATTGTCAAATGTCAAAGACAAAGAGAAAATTTTTAAAGAAGAAGTGACTCATGACATATAAGACAGTCCCATAAAACTATCAGTAGATTTATCAGCAGAAACCTTGCAGGTTAGAAAAGAATGATGTGATAGATTTGAAGTAATTAAAAAAAACCTATTAACTAACAATATTATATCCAGAAAAACTGTCTTTCTAAATAGAAAGAGAAATGATTTCCCATATAAACAAAAGCAGAGAGAGTTCATCACCACTAGATGTGCCTTATGAAAAAATGCTAAAGTGAGTCCTTTGAAGCTGATATGAAAGGATAATAGAAAACAGCACAAAGACAAATGAAAGTATAACCTCTACTGCTAAAAGTAAACATATGGACAAAACAAAATATTATAATACTGTAGAAGCTAGGCAAGATGGCTGACTAGATGCATCCAGGTGAACCAGCTGCTACTGAGGGACTGGGACAACTGGTGCACTCCTAACAGATCTTCAGACGTATGGCACTAAGAGTGGATGGAGGAAAGACCAGAAGCTTGGCTGAAGGAGGAGGAAGCTGGAAACCCTGCACAGGGCGACAGTGCAGCAGGACTTGTTCTTGGCCTCTGACAACTCTGGGAGAATGGGTGAGTTGAACTGGCAAGAAGCAACATGCTCTAAAATGGGCTTCTGGAATTCTGGCAGGAGGAGACTCCCTCCCACCATGGACACTTGAGTTGACAGGGAAAGCCATTAGAGAAGTGGTAGGGGCAGCACTCCAGCTGGTGTAGAGCCCAGAGGGTTTGATGTGGGAATGTCTATAGTGAAGTGCAGCCAGGGATGGCCATCTTCCTAGGCTCAACTTGCTTCCATAGGAAACTTTAGTCCTAGGGGAACTGTCCATACCTGAACTCTATAGAATTTACTTGCCCATTACACAAAACTGGTCCAATCTGAACACCCCTTGGTCTGCTGGCCTCTCCCAGGGCCTCAGCCTGGCTGGACTTGCTTGCAGTGTGACTTCAGGTGCCCTGGGGGCCTACATTGTAGCTCTTGCACTGGTGAACCATGCCTGACCAGAAAAGAGTTCCAGCAGAGTGACCCCCACCAACACATAACAGCCTGTCCCCTCCCACACTCCACTGCAGCTTCCCACGAGAGCATGGACACCTCCCCCCCTGCCATTGCTTTGCCACTATGCATGTGCATGGACAGACTTTGCCTTCTCTGTCCCACCATTGTGTGTGTGTGTGTGTGTGCGTGTGCATGTGTGTGTGTGTATGTGTGTGTTTGTGTACGTATACCTTGCACTGCCACTGCTGCCAGTGTGATTGCATTATTCCTCCCATCCCCCAACCATATGGCCATTGCAGTCAGAGTCTTTGCAGGCACAGAGCCTGTTAGCACCACTCCTATCAGCATCTTGCCTCTGGGCTAACACTGCCACTGGAGTAAAACTAGGCTTAGAAAACAAATGACACTCTGCCACCCTGAGAGGCCACCTCTACCTGTGTGAATGTGCACAGGGGGCACATACAGTATTGCTTCTGCCAACACCCCACCTCTGTGCTGACAACAACACTGGCATGACGAGGTGCACTATAACAAGTAGGGGTCCCCCCAGTGCCCAAGCCATGCAACCTCCTCTGCCTCTGCAAACACCCATATGGAGACCTGCACCCTGGCACCTGCTAATGCCCTGTGGTAGCCAACAAGCATGTTGCTGCTGCCACTGCTGCTAGGACATGTGAACAAGAACAGATCTCACTGCCACAACCCCATGAAATTCTTTGGCTGCCGCCACCCATCAGAGTGAGCCCTGCCCCCTAATATCTTCAGAAACAAAGCAAGTTGACTGTACCCACCAAATACCACAAACTATCAAGGTCATCAAATAGGATAAGAGAAAAACAATTCATCCACAGGACAGCAACCTCAAAGAATAAAGGAACATCAGCCCATAAAGATGAGAAAGAACCAGCACAAGAAACCTGACAGCTCAAAAAGTCAGAGTGCTTTCTTTCCTACAAATTATCACAGTAGCCTTCTAGCAAGGTTTCTGAACCAGGCCGAGATGGCTGAAATCACAGAAACAACATTAGAAATGTGGACATGGGGAGGGGGGAGGGGGGAGGGATTGCATTGGGAGTTATACCTGATGTAAATGACGAGTTGTTGGGTGCTGACAAGTTGATGGGTGCAGCACAGCAACATGGCACAAGTATACATATATAACAAACCTGCACGTTATGCACATGTACCCTAGAACTTAAAGTATAATAATAATAATAATGATGATAATAATAATAATAAAGGAAAAAAAAAAGAAAGAAATGTGGGCTGGAATGTTACAGAAACTGACAGGCAAAATAGCCAGCATAAAAAACAATATAACTAATCTGATAGAGCTGAAAACACACGCTACAAGAATTTCATAATGCAATCACAAGAATTAATAGCAGAATGGACCAAAAGGAAGAAAGAATCAGAGTTTGAAGACTGCCTTTCTGAAATAAGATAGTCAGAAAAGAATAAAGAAAAAAGAATGAAAATGAATGAACAAAACTTATGAGAAATACGAGATTATGTAAAGAGACCAAATCCATGACCCATCGGTGTCCCTGAGATGAAGAGAATGGAAGCAACTGGGAAATTATATTTCAAGATATCATCCATGAGAACTTTCCCAACTTAGCTAGGGAGGCCAATATTCAAATTCAGGAAATGCAGAGATCCCACACAAGATAATTCACAAGAAGATCATCATCAAGACACATACCCATGAGATTCTCCAAGGTCAAGATAAAGGAAAAAATGTTAAAGGCAGCTAGAGAGAAAGGTCAGGTCACATACAAAGAGAAGCCCATCAGACTAACAGTGGACCTCTCAGCAGGAACCCTACAAGCCAGAAGAAAATTGGGAGCCAATATTCAACATTCTTAAAGGAAAGAAATGTCAGTCAAAATTTTCATATCCAGCAAAACTAAGCTTTATATGCAAACAAGAAAAAGATCCTTTCCAGAAAAGCAAAGGCTTAGGAAATTTGTTACCACCAGACCTGCCTTACAAGAGCTCCTGAAGGAAACACTACAAATCAAAAGGAAAGATCATTACAAGCCACTTCAAGAACACATTTAAGTACATAGACCAGTGACAACAAAAAGCAACCACAAAAACAAGTCTATATAATAACTAGCTAACATAATGACAGGAGAAAATCCACACATAACAATATCAACCTTGAATGGAAATGGGCTAAATTCCTCAACTAAAAGGCACAGGCAGGCTGGATAAAGAAGAAAGGCCCAATGGTATGCTGTTTTCAAGAGATCCATCTTCCATACAATGACACCCATAGGCTCAAAATAAAGGATGGAGAAAAATCTACCAAGAAAATGAAAAACAGAAAAAAAAAAAGCAGAGGTTGCAATTCTAATTTCAGAGAAAACAGATTTCAAATCAACAAAGATCAAAAAGGACAAAGAAAGGCATTATATAATGGTAAAGGGTCCAATTTAACAAGAAGATCTAACTATCCTAAATCTACATGCACTCAACACAGGTGCATTCACACTCATAAAGCAAGTTCCTTGAAACCTATGAAGAGACTTTGTTTCACACCCAATAATAGTGGGAGACTTCAACACCCCACTGCCAATATGAAAAAAAATCATTGAGGTTAAAAAAATCACAAAAAAATTCAGGACTTGAACTCAACACTTGACCAAATGGACCTAAAACACATTTACAGAACTCTCTACCAAAAGACAACAGAGTATACATTCTTTTCATTGCCACATGATACATACTTTAAAATCAACCATGCAATTGGACATAAGACAACCCTCAGCAAACTCAAAAAAAAAAAAAAAATACAGCAATCAAACCAACCACACTCTTGGACCACAATGCAATAAAAATAGAAATCAAGGCAAAGGAAATTGCTCAAAATCATACGATTATATAGAACTTAGACAAGTGACTCCTGAACCACTTTTGGGTAAATAATCAAATTAAAGAAGACATCAAGAAATTCTTTGAAACTGATGAGAACAAAGACACAACAAGCCAGAATCTCTAGGACACAGCTAAGGCAGTGTTAAGAAGGAAATTTATAGCACTAAACACCACATCAAACAGTTAAAAAGGTCTCAAATTAACAACCTAACATCACAATTACAAGAATTACAGATGCAAGAGAAAACCAATTGCAAAGCTAGCAGAAGACAAGAAATAACCAAAATCAGAGAT